AAAGGCTAGCCTGCCTGCTCAGAAACAGGGATCTTGAAATTACCAGCAGCTAAAGAAAAACAAACACGTGGATTAAAATGTGAGACGCTTTCTTTCTTAGACAAACAATTAACTGCATAGCAAAATAAATAACTTCTAAGGCTGTCAAGGCAGGTTTTATAGTATCCAGAATCCGTCCTTAAATCATTGCTTGCTCTGTGATCTGAATCAAGTCAAAGAGACTAAGATGAAGAATTAGACACAAGGTTGATTACAAATAACAGGATTACTTTTGTTGGTGAAATCCAAAATGCAATATAGAAGACATACTCAAAGTCTTTACTGAATACGTGAAGGTGTTAAAAAAAAATAACATTATGGCAGAGTCTACTTTTCCTTCTCTGACAGCCTTTATGAAGCGTTTTGTTTTGGTTTTTACGACACTGATGTAAACAGAAGTTCTTACTCATTGATTCTGAATCAGTAATACCTTCCAGATCATTAGAGATAACTAGCAAACATTACAGAAAGTATTCCCATTGCCATGTGTGGGTCAAAAAAAAATAATAATTCCACACTGGGTGTAGAAGCCCATGCCTTTAATTCCAGATGTAGCTGTGGTTACAAAGGGAGCTCTAGGCCTGCTCAGGTTATATTAGTCATTGACAAAAATTAAATAAATTGAATTAAATTCCACTAATCATTTCTGAAAGAGGGCATCAGAAACTAGTATGATTATAATAATTCAAAAAAAATAGTTTCTCATTGTTTTGTAAAGAAATAGTCCTGGGGGACGTGTATTAATACCTGAGTATTACAAATAGTGTGTGTGTGTGTATTATTTTTATTATTATTATTTTAACATTCAGATCATTTTAGGCCTGGGATTGGAGAGATGAATCAGTAGTTAGGAGTACTGGTTGCTCTTGCAAAAGCTCCCAGCACCCACATGGCAACTCATGAGTGTCTATAGCTCCAGGTCCGAGTAATCCAATGCTGTCTTCTGACCTCTATGGCACTGGGCATGCACATGCTATATACACATACAGGCAGGCAAAAACTTATACTCATAAAATGAAAATTGAATGAATAAAAAGATTTGCACTTTGTCACCTTTACTGTGCAGGTTTTTAATGTGCATATATTGTATGATAGATAAATTGAAATGACTAATTTGGATGACTTAACATAGCTTTTCATGGTGAAAACATTAACTTTGGGCTGGAGATATGGCTCACTGTTTAAGAGCATGTGCTGCTCTTGCTGAGAAGCCAGGTTTAGTTTCTTGCACCCACAAATTCACTCACAACCATCCTCATCTCCAGGGAATGCATCATGTCTTTCCCTTCCATAGTTGTTTTGGATATCTGTGATGGAAAAATTATTAATGACATTTAATATTGTATTAAGCTTATATTCCTTTAGCAATTTATTTACATCACATACACCACTAACATTGACACGTCAAGTCATCATAAAGCTATGAGGGAGGAAAGTTACCATTTATATTTTGGTACCACAGATGTTATCTCAAAGTTTACAAAAAGAAATATTGTTTGGCACTTGCCTCTTGATGCTGTGAGTGATCTCTTGACTGTTTCCAGGCAGTGTTTCTCTTACTGTATTTAAAGAGGAGTTCGTTCTCTAAAGACAGGATAATGACAGAGGGGGAAACTGAATCGCTGCTTCTTTGGTTGAATGACTCACAAGAAGCAGCTCATATGACCTGTTGTTCTTCCTAGAGAACTCTTTTTCTTTTATTCCGTGACAAAAACAAACTCCCCAGAGACAAAAACAAGCAAGCAAGCAAACAAACAAACAAAAACCCCAGCCATCTAAATATTTGTAGTTGGATAATTGCCAGTTTATGGTAGACAGTGGAAAAATTCTAGAGGCATTACGATGGTAGAAGAGCCTTCTCAAATGGCTAATGTATATTTGAATGTGATAGAACAACATTTAAACACCAAAGCTTACCCGTTGCATTCTGTGATTTGTGTGTGTTCAAATTTCTTTCATTTTCTTAATTCTGAAGAGCTGTTTTTGCTCGAGTCCACTTCCTTTTACTTTTATTCACAGGGAAGTCATAATCCTCTCTTTAAATAGCAGCTGGTTACCATGGAAATCATTCTAAGGCCCCTGAATCAATATTGTGATTTTGCTGACATTTCAGGTAAGAAGAAAAGACAGGCTAAGATGTACAAAAGTCACATTTTCTTCTGTTAGAATGCTGACAACACGGAGTTGGTAAAGAAAACATGGGCTCTACAATAAGCCCCAACGAGATCCTGATAATAAAGAACTGAGGATTCATAAAATATCAGCCTATGTATATAAATAATGTGGAATTTGAGTATGGATATATGTGCACATGCTCTTGGACTCAAGAGTTTTCCTTCCATCTCTCAACTTGGCCCTGATTCAACCCTGCCCTTATTATTCTAGTAACTTATAGAAGACCATTGGGTGCATATGGCTTTGCAATTGTTCCTTTCTTATGAGCTCCAAAGAGAAAGGTAAATTTGCAAAGCAAATGCTGTTTGGCCATTTATTGGATTTAAAGCATCATCACCCACACAACTGAGGGTTTTCCAGTCCATCCTAAGAGATCCTTTCTGAAGAGAAATATTGAATTTAGGCTTAGTGGTCTGTAAGTTACAGACCCCCTCAAGTAACTTTTATGTCTAACTTTCTAACTTAAGTCTTTACCAGAGACACGGAGTTACTTTCTCATGTCTGCCTTAAGAAACAAAAACAGTTACTAATGGGCTACTCTCTGCTTGATAACTATCCCCAAGGAACCCTTGATGCTTAGTCGGTAAAGATACCTGAGAGAGAATGTTGGTTTTCAGGATCTGGTCACTCAATGCCTTACAAGTGTATGCAGATGTGTTCCATTTCAAGGTGATTGACAGTCAACCTGGTATTGCTTCTAAGAGCAGGTGCTCATGACTGTGTTCCTAGTTTTACTCTGTGTATGCCACCTTCCCCTCCTCTTAGAAGGGCTTCTCCGATGTGTGTGTACTGCAGTCCTTTTATAGTTGGATTGTGGCACACATGGATGTGTGGCACAGCCCTTTCCATCTCTGCAGCCTTAATTATCTTGGAATTTTCTATTTTCAAGGCTTGGCTTGAACTTGGGATCTCCCCATCTAAGTCTCCAAAATGCTATGAGTGCACATGCCCCATCATGTACACCTTTAGTTAATTTTTGAATAACTCTGGACTATGTTTAGGCCTTGTCACTCAGAGATTCCTGTCTTGACTCTTTAATTTTCTTTGGCAAGCAACCTAGTATAATCGATTATGTAGTTCTGAAAGTAGAAACACAGGATAATTGAATGTAGACATAGCATGACACAGAATAAAGAGAAATGAAAGACACTGTGTTTAAATATTTGATGAAACTTAGGAACAATGTTTAAAATTTGTAAAAGTTCCATCCCCCAGCTCGTATAAAAAAAAAAAAAAAACTAAACATCTGTTGCTTCTAAAAGCATAAACGTGCTGTGCAGAAGGTGCAGGACACACTTCTTGCTCAGAATCAAACTCTAGGAGTGAACAAACAGAATATGATATTAAAGAGGGAGACTGTCTTTTTAAAATTAAAAGATTCATTCTATTTCCAGGCATTGATCTACACGATTTAACAATTCACTGAGATTATGTTTGGGCACTGAGAAGGAGAAAGCTGTGAACAGAGTGGAGAAAAAGATGGCATGCTACCCAAAGGTATCTTATCTCTCAGACCGCATGTAAGCTCCTGGGCCAAGAGACATGCCAGAACCTTTGGGAAGAACTGGAAATCTCATGTGGCAAAGAATTATTAGATGAGAAAAAGATGCCATGGTTTCCTTTCATTACAAACAGACCTAAAATGTGATACTCTGGAGTTCATGGAAGCTACAAACTCAGGCATGAGCAGGGTAGAAGAAAGACCACAGGGCTAGGCAGATGTCTGCTGTTGACTCACCACTGGCTGCATTGGAGACCTTGAAGCATGCCTCACAGCTGACACACAAACTCTCAAATGGTTTGAAATAAGGGGCGCAATGCGGTGTTCCCCCAAATTAAAGTGTTAAAAACGTAAGCTCAGTGTGATGGTTTTGGGGAGGTAACATGGTGACTTGGGAAGTTAACAAGGCTCCAAAGTCAGAGCTTTCATAGACAAGATTATTTAATATTCCTAGACTCAGTGCATGTCATACAAGGCAAGAATATCCAAGGACAAGATTCCGAAGCTTTGAGGGGAGCTCTATTCCAAGATCACATTGGCTCCTGAGCTTTTAAGCAGAGCGGGAGAAATGAATTGCCACTCTTCGTAAACCAGCCAGCCAAAAGCAGTTTGACAGCTGTGTTAAACCTCACCTTGTATGCCACTTCCACCAAGAAGCTTTGGGGAAATGCTCAAGTAAGCCACTGACTTCCTTATTCAAGAAGAACTAAAGGATTTGTGAGATATTAGGCTATATTTGTATTCATATATCCACAGTAGCTATGTTTGATTTGTGTATCTCATAGCTGAGGGAAAAATTACTATAAAGGAAGAAATAAGATTTACAAAGCAGAGACTAAACTACTTAGCTGCTACTTATACACAAGGAAGGAAATGATGTAAAAATTGGTTATTTCTAAAAGGTATCATCATAAATTTTACCTCATATATTTCCCACATTAAAATCTCCACCATATTCCAATAATCCAATATTCCAATAATCGACCAGCATGTCTTTTAACTATGTAAATAGCAAACTAATACAAGTAAGAAAATATAAAAAGTAGATATACATCTAGGTAAAACTAATTTTTGAATAATTGAAAGCCTTAAATGGGCCATAGTGATGACACATTACCTTGTCCATTTTTGTTTTGTTTTTAACTGAGGACTGAATTTGGTGCCTTACCCATGCAACTGCAAGCCCTCTGCTACTGAACTGCATCACCTGAACTATCTGGGTTTCTCATTGAGGATGTTAAGTATGATCAGGTGTCATTTGACACCACACCATAATGCCTCCAACCCTTAATGTTTCTTTCCTGGGACTCAGGAGAAGGAAACAGGTTCCCAGAAGCTGAAGCTTTTGGAGATGACTGGGAAGTGGGCGTGGTGAGTTTACCTTCTGGCCTCTCCAGGGGTCTCCCACTTTTACTGGCTGCAGTGCTGTTGACGGTCTCAGATGAAGTGCTAAGCTTGGTGCTGGGGTCTCGCTTGGGCTTGGGAGGTGGCTGTCTTCGGGATCCACAGCTACTGTCGTCCTCGGTGCCTCCGACGGAGTGCAGGGACTGAGATCTCACAGTGAATCCGCTGGAGCAGGGGTGTGGGAGTCTGTCCTGTGGAGCAGGCATCGTCATGAACCCCATGCGGAAATGCTTGCCTGCGTAGCTGGCGTCCTGGCCTCGCCCTACTTCTCCCCCTATGCTGTAAGAAAAACCAGAGACCACTTGTGAGGGAAAAAAAAACAGCCAGGAAATATTTGAAAGCACAGACACCACCAGCCTTTTTACCAGAATTTTCAGAGGTGAAGATTCTCACTGGTGAAGAAGTACACCATTTTACAAGGGGTTGATGCTTAACCAGTCTTAAATGACATAAAAACAGTCTATACTTTTAAGTCAAATTCTGAAAGTAAAGCCAAAACAGTTTGATTAGAATCAGAAAGTTTAGTGTGCATCTACAGACACCTTCACTTCCCGATGGACTTACTATCCTATGGGAGAAAATCCTACATAACAGATTATATCTTCAACCACTCATTTTTTTTTTAAGAACTTGAAGTTGAACCTTGTCTCATGGCATGAACAGTAGACAAAAAATTGGTGACTATATTCCCTAGACCAGTTCCTGTTGAGTGAATGGTCACCATTCTTTTCATCAAAACCATCCCTAAATTGTCTGCTTAATATGTTGAGAAAAAATGGAATAAACATGAGCAGGAAAGGTTCTGTTAATAAGGACTGGAAAGAGAGAATAAAAAAAAAAAGGCAAAGACCAGAGAGGATCAATAATGCTGCAGGAAGGAAGAGAGAACAGGGGAGAGAGGAACAAAGGAAGGCAGAGTGGAAGAAGGGGAAAGACTAGAAATGAAACCCAAAGATAGAGCAAGATGAGAGGAAGGGAGTGCAGGAGGAAGAAGGAAAGAAACATCTAAGAAGGGAGACGGGAAGACAGTTGGATAGAGGAAGACAGGAGAACAAGGGCAGTAGAAGAAGGGATGAGGAAACAACTTCCAAACTGAGGACTGAATTGTCCTTCCTTTGTTTTCTAGAAACATCCCCCATCTCATGATGTTAAAAATGTGGTACCAACAAGCAGCAAGCCCCACCTCACAGAGAAGAAGCATTTAACGAAGTATAAAAAGACTTCATTCTGATGTGGCTCTACATCCTAAGTATTGAGGATGTAAAGACTTTTCTAATTTAATATGTTTTAGGTTTCACTAGGGAAAATATAAAGATTTAGAAAAATGTAGTTTGAAGTTCAGTTAATTACAGAGGAGATACTTCTTAGGGTATTTATACTGTACACAATGGTGACTCTTTATGAAGAAAACACCATGAATATGTATGTGGACTTTTAGAGGAGAGAGTTTCCTGGAGCTTTCTCTATCTACCAAGCTCATCCACTAAAAGGAACAGCTAAAAGAAAATCATGTATGTAGTATTTGTATTTCACTGAAACATGTGAACCTGTGAAGATAAACTCAGCCTCTTGAATCTGCCATTCTAGTATACAGAATTATTTAGAAATAGTAAACTTTCATTTTATCTTGATTTTTGATGCAACTTAAAGTAAGATTTGAATTCTATTATTGTGTCTTTCATACCATTATAATATTCATCATAAATTTAAGATTTCAGGCTGGGGAGTGTATCTCTAAGGTAGAGCACTTCTTTTACATGGAACTGCAACTTCAAACCCCAATAAATAATGTAAGCAAATGAATAAATCAATTTTTGAAAAACAAATTCCAATAGGAACAATATTGAGAACTTAAATGTTTTCCATCTTCAACTAGGGCAGTGGTCCTTACCCTTCCTCATGCTGTGACCCTTTAATACAGTTCCTCATATGGTGACCCCAACCATAAAATTACTCTCATTGCTACTTCATAACTATAATTTTGCTACTGTTATGAATCATAATATAAGTATCTGAACTGCCGAACTCCTGACTTATGAGACATACATGTACACTGTGGGAAAAGCCAGAAGACCCAACAAGATCCTTACAGTTTGAGTCTAGCACTTACTCACAACAATAATTTGCTACTCAAACACAACTCTTATCTCTGTCATTTCTTGATTAATACTTGGATTTAATGTTTAGACAGTGCATATGGCATCTTAGTAACATGGATAGCAAGGATAAAGCAGGGCAAAGGACATGCTAGACTCAGGGGGTTTCAGCATATCAGCTAAGTGGATTTTCATATAGAGACAGGAAACAACCCGTTTAATGTTTCTGTGCATTTTAATTTTGTGTCTGCTTCAGGACCATCAATCAAGACACAAATGAGACACTTGCAGAGAGTGTTTTGTGGAAAAAAACCATTAAGAATTTCTGGGAAAATGGGCTTAGTGGTGGGGAGAGGAGAGCATATGGGAAGATTTCACTTGGTGATGACATGTCTTTGAAGATGAGATATTTGATTTTCTCTAGCTTTGCCTTAAATTATTTTCATCTGCGTGTCTCTTCCTCATTTCCGTTGTATCACTGAACAAAAGCTGCTTTAAAGATTTATTTAGACAGCTGCTTCTTTGCCAGGAACATGCTCACCTAGGGAGATCTATGCATGTGTTAATGCACACAGGCATTTATGAGACAGTTACTAGAAATAATTGTAGCAGCAATTTATCTCTTACCTTTGACCTAAATAGAGCCTGCACCTTTTCCCAGACAGATAATTAGCCCTGCTGCTTAGTGTCAGGATTACCTATTTATCGGCACGAAACAATTTTGTGTAATGCTGCTTTTGCTCATAAATATCCTGTTAGGCACAGTAACACTTCTTCCAAGTGAAATACAATGTGTGCTTCAAACAATAGCAGGTATAAAGATGCGAGTTTAGTTTCACCTGGCAGTGCATACCTAATGAGAACATGGCTGAGCGTGAGTTACATGTACATAGGCCTTTGTTCAAGTCAAGGTTAAGGGCAAGCATTAAGCAGAATGACACAGCTTCTTGCAAGAGATTTAGCAGGGTGTTGAGTCCAAAGGACACTGCAGATCATGCATTGAAGCTTTTAATTAGTTTCAGAATCTGCTACCTCTCTCTCTCTCTCTCTCTCTCTCTCTCTCTCTCTCTCTCTCTCTCTC